GGAGATGGAAGTGACTTTCAAACACTGCCACAGAAAACTCTACTCTGGAGAGCAGCCACGCGCAGAGTGGTTCAGCCAGGGGGAATTCTGTCGCCTAGGGCCCTCTCAAGCCTCTCAGCTGACCTCAGAGCACCTCTGAGGGCCACCAGGACTCTTCTGGATGATCTCAAGCAGCACCAAGGTGACAGTCGGATATGCATATGGAAAATAACCCTCCGTGCCATCTTTTATTCCACCTGATTCTTCCTGGAGTCCCTGGATGTGTTCTGTCTCCAGGCCTGCCTGTGAAAACGTGCCCTGATGCCCCTGTAAAAAAGGGCGGATATACTTCTGTGTCCCACAGGGGCTTGTGATGCCTCCTCCCCATGCATGTTAATAAAATTGTTAATAAAATTTCTTCTTTAAAAAAAGTACCTTCTTCTCCCATGCGTGTGGCAGCAGACCGTGTGGTTGGCTTGGACTCCGGTTCCTGACCGATGGCGTTCTGGAGCTGCGTGGCAGGGAGGGGGCACCCCTGAGCACCTGTTATAGCCAGCCAGGTCTCAAACTAATATCACCTCAGATGAGGAGAAAGACCACACCTCCCGAAAGGACCACTACTAGCCCTGTGTGGCCATCTACATTTGTATTTGTAAAAATTGAGTTAAAGGTTCCTCAGTCACACTAGCCACATTTTGGAGGTGAGGGACAGTCAGGGTCTCACTTCATTGTCCAAGTTGTAGTGCCGTGGCATGATCATAGCTCACCACAACCTCCAGCTCCTGGGCTCTAGCGATCCTCCTACATCAGCCTCCTGAGTAGCTAAAACTACAGGCACGTGCCACCACCCCTGGCTAACTTTTTGTGTGTGTGGAGTTGGGGTCTTGCTGTGTTGCCTAGGCTGGTCTTGAACTCCTGGGCCAAGCAGTCCTTCCACTTTAGTCTCTCAAAGTGCTGGGATTACAGGCGTGAGCCACAGTGCCCAGGCAAGTCACATCTCAAGTGCTTGGTAGCTTCCTGCGGCTAGCGGTCACCTTCTGGAATGTTGCCGACAGAGAACATGACCATCATTTCAGAAATTCTGCTGGATGGTGCTGGAGCGAGGATAGGGCCGTGGTCACACAGCCAGTTAGAAACAGAATCCCAGCCAGGCATGGTGGCTCAAGCCTGTAATCCCAGCACTTCGGAATGCCGAGGCGAGAGGATTGCCCAAAACCAGGAGTTCGAGGCCAACTTGAGCAACATGGTGAGACTTTGTCTCTATAATAAAAATGAAAAAAATTAGCCAGGCCTGGTGGCTTGCGCCTGTAGCTCCATGAGGTGGAAGGATCACCTGAGCCCAGCAGGTCAAGGCTGTGGTGGCCATGAGTGTGCCCCTGCACTCCAGTCTGGGTGACAGAGTGAGACTCCAACTCGGGGAAAAAAAAAAAAAGAATCTGGGAGGAGGAAACGGGAAAGGACTTACTCTTGTGCTGGTTTTCTTTCCAGCTTCGTTTCTGAGCATGTTCTAATGTGCCCCTGTGGAGTTTACGTGCCATTGGGGTGAGACTAGAAGAAAACATACAATGTCAAAACAACGATTATGTATCAGGAGCTGGTGGGCAGGATGGAAAAGGGATGTTCAAACGGGGAGGGAGATGATCAGTGCCGAGGAAGTGGGGGCCTGCGGTTTTGAACAGGGCGGTCTGGCTCTGCCTCTTTAGGAAGGTGATGTTTGAGCAAAGTCCTGAAGCCAGGGAGGCTGGGCCCGTTGGGGTGGAGGGAGAAGCCAGAGCAAAGGTTGGAAGACCGAAGGTTGCCTGGTGGCTGGAGGCAGAGCAAGGAGGCCAGGAGGCTTGCTGGGGTAGAGGCCACGGGAGGGGAGCGGGCGGTGACATTACAACATCACAGCAGTGGGGAGGAAGCCGATCTCGCGGCGCGTGAGGACTCTGACTCCAAATGAGAAAGGAAGCCTTGAGGTTTTTCAGTCAAGAAGATGCAATCCAGCTTGTTTCGGGCTCGTTTCGGGCTTTTTCCGGCTGCAAGTTCGGAACAGGCTAGTGGTGCCGGGAACAGAGGCAGTCCAGCTGCTGCTATGATAGTCCAGGAACACGACGAGAGTCACTTGGACCAGCTGCAGCTCGGATGATGACACGCATGGCCGACTCTGGACCTGTGTGTTTGAAGACGGCACCAGCATAGGCTGCTGGTGGATTGGGTGTGGGCACAAGAGGTGGGAAGATGGTGCCTGAGCAACCCAGGCATGCGGTTTCCGCCGGCTCCAGAAAGAGCAGATGTGCTGTGTCATGGGGGGAGGGCTCAAGTCATTTTTGGCTGATTGGATATACTGAACAGCTGGAGCGCCATGTGGCAACTGGATCTATGAATCTGGAGTTGAGGCGTGATGTCGGGGCTGAAGATGTGAGTGTGGGGGCCGTCGGCATGAAGAGGAATTCAAAGTCCTAACGCTAGAGGTGTCACCAGAGGAATGAGCAGGGCCAAGGAGAGACCCTAAGCTACGCCCTGGGGTGTTTTGAGCTGAAGAGGCTGGGGCGAAAGGGAGCTAGCCTAGAGAAATGGAGAAGGAGCACTCAGAGATGGGGGAGGGGTTCGGTGTTCTGGCAGGTATGTGAGGAGAGTTCCCGTCTTTGGCCCTCTTCCATCTCAAAGCCTGAGGCAGCAGGTGATGGAGGGAGAGAGAGAGAATGAGCTCTGTCCATGTACTGAGACAGCGCCCCCCATTTTCCCGCCTGCCCAGCCAGACGCCTGGCTGCTAACCACTCAGAGGACAGGTGAGTTGGCGCATTCTGGTTCTGGGCTCTTCCATGTTGAGGGCCTGCCATCAGTCAGAGCAAGTGGTGACATTCAGACATCACGGACTGAATGAAGCCCTGCCCAGATTCATCATGCAAGTCCCAATCCCAGTACTTTCAAATGTGACTGTCTTTGGAGATGAGGCCTTTAAAGGGGTGATAAAGTTAAAGGAGGTCATGAGGGTGGGCCCTACCCCAATAGGACTGTCGTCCTTATAAGAAGACGACACCGGGACACAGGCGTTTCCCCGGGGAGGATCATGTGAAGACGTAGGGAGATGATGCCGTCCTCAAGCCAAGGAGAGCCGCCTCAGGAGAAAACCATGCCTGCCAACACCTCAGCCTTGGACTTGCAGTGTCCAGAATTGCAGAAAAGACATTTCTGTTGTTTGAGCCACCCAATGTGTGGTGCTTGTCGTCATGGCCCTGGCGGACCAATGCAAATACGCGAATGAGGTTTTGAGATCTCATCCTCTCCCTCCTCGGCCTCCATGCGTGTGGCCTCATGAGGATGAACTCCTGGGGGAAGAGAAGTCAGGTGCTGGGCTTTGCTGGCCAAAGTGTACATCCAGAACTCAGGATGGGGAACTCCCCATCCTGAGTTCTGGATGCTACACTTTCAAGGGCTGGTTCTCTTGGAAATCAAAAGCCTGAGCCATGGTCCCAGGAGCAATAACCTCCGAAGGCAGATGAAAACTAGCATCCCTGCTGTCTGAATAAAGTCTGGGGGCTGGGGGAAGGGAGCTTGAGAGAGCCGAGGTTCTGGAGAGTTCCTCACAGGACTTCACATACCAGATAGTTTGAGGAGACTTGTGCTTGTTTCCAGGTGAGGCCAGTGTGGGTGACAAGCTTCCAGAAGTGACCCTGCACCAGGGGGAGGGGACAGCAGAAAGCGAAAGGGAGCCCATGTTGTGTTCCTAGGGCACTGGCGGGCTCCTGTGATGTCCCTGTCTCCCTGGTGTGACACACAACAGGCTAGAAAATGTCACAGGCCTTGATGGGTCTGGGCATAGAAGATGCCAACCTGGAACTGGATACGGAAGCATGGGTGTCAGTGGAGTCTGCACTGGTAAGGTGCGCTGCCTGGAGTAACTCTCAGCACCAGAGCACCCTGCCCTCACCCCAGCACCCATGCTGCCTTGAAGTGGGAGAGGAAAAGCCTGGATTGGCTGACAGGGTGGAGTTCAGCTGGACCTGCAAGCCAAGTGTCTCCTGTTAGGTGTGCTGGGAATTGAAGAGGGAAATTAAGCCAGTTATGGAAAGTAATGCTACAGGGGCTGGGAGAATGGAGTTATTAACGGGTATAGAGTTTCAGCTGCACAAAATGAAAAGTTCTGGAGATGGATGGTGGTGATGGCTGCACAGCACGTGCATGTATTTAACACCACTGAACTGTGCCCTTAAAACTGGCCAGGATGATAAATGTTGCGTATTTTACCACAATTTTAAAAACTGGAATTTTAAAAACTCAATGCTGTAAGGTTGCGGCTTATGAAATTCACACCCATGACAACAGATGGGAGCTGAACTAGAGCTTGGGCAAGTGGGGGAGGGGGTGGAAAGATTGCTCAGATAGGGCCCTGAGCTCCTGCAGGTGGAGGAGGGGAGGTGTGGATGCCACCGCTTGCTGGTGTCACCCTGGGCAGCAAGGTGCAAGCCTCTCGCTTACACATACCTGCCTCTGACATCCTGCAGTCACATTTCCCACCCAAAGGGATGATCTGGGGGTTGGAATCTGTGCTCAACCCTTAAACAAAGATTCCCACAGAGTTCAAGAAGGAGGATGCTAGGTAAAATGACTTTATTTCTGAGGCAAAAGGTTATGTAATACACAACTGCGTCTACCTGAAGCATTAGAAGCCAGCTGTAGCCAACCCATCTGGCGCATGTGCGGAGCTGGCCACAACAGGAGGGCTGCTTTTGATCATGTCTCATGTAACCGTGCAACATGCAAAAGCCGTGGCTTTCATGAAGAAATTAACTGTGCCTTGTAGCTTTTGCCCCAAATCACCAGAACTATGAAATCACCAGAACTAATCCCTTGAACTATTTCCGTGAAACATTCCTCTAAATGGTGACAGAAGAAAAGAATATCTATTATAATATGAAATCGTCTACACCCTCAGACTGCTCTTCCTGCATAGTCAGATGGTGGCCACGCACACATCCCTCTGGATGAGTGAAAGCTCAGAAGGCAGATTGGAGCTGCCAGGCCCTGGCTGGCTCTTCCCAGGAGCCCTGGACCTCTCCCGCTGCCTTTGCTGGGACAGCCGGGAGGCTCTTCACATCTTGGAGAGCCTGATGTCATAGGTGACCATGTTCAGGTTGTCCCAGGCGAAGAGCTTCTTCTCCAGTGGGTTGTAGTCGATCATGCTGCTGTACCTGTAGCGGTTCTTGAACGGGACGGCCAGGGGCTTGCTGCTGCCTGTGCCTGTGTCGTAGGCAAAGTTGACGGTGGCATCGGCCGAGGAGTAGCTGCTGACGGTGTACAGGGTACCGCAGATGATGAAGGCGTTGGCCACCGACTGCTTGCGGATGTTGGTCTCCCAGGTCTGCTCGAGTTCCAGGCTCTCGGGGTTCAGTCTGGAGAGGACGATGGCACCCTTGGCCTCCTCGGTGCTGTAGATGACCCAGAGGCCTGCCTCGTCCACAGCCAGGTCAATGTCTGTGTAGCCGCCCCAGGAGTAGGGGAACTGGCCGTGGAAGCCGGCCCCAGGGATCTCCCTCTCCGCTTTCACCGTCTCAGTGTTCAGCTCATATCTGACCACAGTTCTGGACTCGGCCCCCTGGAAGTAGAGGCTCCCGGCATACACCACGGCACCCGTGCTCTCCAGGGCTCGGGGCAGCACGTGCACCTTGGACGGGTAGCCTTGTGCAAACTGGCTGGGGTGGGCGTACTCGAACACCTGGCGCACATCCGTGCCCACCGTGTCGATCCTCCATGTGGTCTCCCGGGCGGAGGGGGTGGTGGGCCTGGGGTCTCGCATCCACACGCCGTACTTGCCGGCGATGGATTCCGCTGTCCTCAGGGTGACGGGCTCTCCCACCCACACGAGTTCTCCACATCCTGAATGGCGAAAGCAAAGAGCATGGCCACAGTCCTCCCAACACAGACAGTGACCACAGGGAGCGGCTGGGCGGTGGAGGGAAGACCCCGGGCACAGGCATACGTTCACAGCCCAGCCTTGCCACCCGCTGACTGTGGGACTTGCGTTAAGCTACTTGTCTCTCTGTGTCTCGGTTTCCTCATGTGTAAGGGGGGATAAAATAATGTTTTGGGTGGTAACACTGTTATAAATTTTAAACATATTTATGCACGCTAAGTGCTTGGTATGGAGTAAGTACATGGGAAACACTATGTGTTCAACTGGGATGCTAACAGAACTGTCAGTGTCAGCTGCAGGAATGAAGCCGCACAGAGGACACTGCTGTATTTGCAATATTCCTCTCGAGCTGGGCAGCGATGCGTGGGGGTTCGTTATGACTTTCATGTCTGATTTATCTCATTGTTAAAAGCAGGAGAGAGAAAAGCCAACTCCTTATAAGAATAATCTCCACACAACACAGTTTTTCAAGCATGAACTGGTGGGCCACATAATTCATGAATCCTTTTAATACAATAAAGCCCAAATGTAATTTTTTTTTTTTTTTTGAACTGGAGTCTCACTCTGTCGCCCAGACTGGAGTGCAGTGGCCGCTCCCGGCCACCGCAGTCTCGACCTGCTGGGCTCCAGCGATCCTTCCGCCTCAGCCTTCCGAGTAGCTGGAATTACAGGCATGAGCTACCACGCCCGGCTGATTTTTTTTTTTTCGTAGAGATGAGGTCTCGCCAAGTTGCCCAGGCGGGTCTCGAACCTGCGGGCTCAGGCAATTCACTCACCTTAGCCTCCCAAAGTGTGGGATTACAGGCTGAGCCACCAAGCCCGGCCAATTTTTTTTAATGTAGTAAAGAGATGGTTGAAAATTTATATTTCAGAGAATCATATTTTAAATATTTCATAGCCCACACGCCCATACATGCCCCTCATATGAGTGTTAGTAGTAATTGTTAGTAACATGGATAGTCAAAGTTTCTAAAAACCACACAGTCTTAGTGTTAAAGTCTGACTTTCAGGGAACGTTTTGGAGAGGAGCAAATTATACTTTTCCTTAGTGGCCAAAATGCAGAAAAAAATACCTTTAGTAACAAATTGTGTGCTCAGATGGCACACAGTATATAACTGTCCTTAAGAGAAAGATATGGCGACTGAAAACTAATTTCTCAGGTGTAGTTAATACTGTGTGACAATCAGGAGTGAAGTAAATACATTGCTCATCTTCCCCTGTGCAGCTCAGCCCAGCATCCCAGGTGTGGGGACAGGATGCAGGGCTTTGCTAGGGAAAGCCTGGCTTCCTGCAGACCTCCTGGCCAGGGAACAGAGAGGGGTTACTCATGTCCCCACTGGGTGGGCATTGAACACAGAACGAGTCTCGGATAAGGACCATGTGGCACAAAAGCAAAGAAACTCAACTCATACCATGGTCTCCCTCTTCACTCCCGGGACGACTCGAAGGGCTCTCCTTCAAGATTCTGGAGGCGGGAACTTCAGTCAACTCTGACTTCAGTTCCTGGAAGGCCAAAGTATCCAGAGGCCATCGAAGAACTAGATTACAAGAAAGAGACAAAATTGTACTGTGAGAATAAATGGCCCTAAAACTGACTATGTTGAAGATGGCATTTAACTAGGTTCCCAATGAGATGATCCTTGAGGTCTGCTTTAAGATAAAGGAGGAGGTCGGGGAGGAGGAAGGGAGGACGAAACGTGATTGGCTATTCTGATGGCTACTGGTGCTGGAGGATGGCAACATCGGGGTTCCTTCTGGCCTCTCTACTTTTAAGAATGTTTGAACAATTCCATAATTTAAAGCCTCGTGAATAATAAATTGCATAGCAATATGCCTAGCACAGAGTATGGCATTCAAAATAAAATAAGGCTTTACACAATTAAAATAATTTGCACAAGAAGGATTGATTTATGAATAGCTGAGATGTGATTTCAGGAATATTGGGACTATCCTTAGTATCTTCTTAGATGAATTTCACCCATTAAAAATTCACTGAATGACTTAAGGTTTTTTTCTTTGTCATATGCAAACATTCCTGCAAGAAGTAACATACACAGCTCTACACGCTCAGTTGAAATATTTTTGTCAGAGGTCAGATGTGGTGGCTCACACCTGTAATCCCAGCATTTGGGAGGCTGAGGAGGGAGGATCACTTGAAGCTAGGAGTTTGAGATCATCCTGGGCAACATAGCAACAACTGTGTACACACACACACAAAAAAAGATAGAAAAAGAGCCTGAGGCAGAAAGATCTCTTAAGCCCAGGAGTTTGAGGCTGCAGTAAGCTATGACTGCACCACTGTTCTCCAGCCTGGGCAACAGAGCCGGACCCTGTCTCTAAAAGAAAAGCAAAAGAGAAATACTTTTAGATTTCTAAGACCAGCTTTGCATAAGGAAGGATGAGTGTGTGCAGGGTCCTACAGGAACTTACAGGTTGGTTTGAGCCACAGAGAAGGGAAGTCATGTGGGCGACACTGGTTAGACAGTAATGATCACAGTGCACCACACATCTCTAATTCTGCTTGGGACTATGGTCTTACAGCAGGGCTTGAATACTAGGATGAAGTAACTGCCACAAGAAACAGGTTGTAAAATGTGGGTCTGATGGCAATGATGACGATGGTGATTATTATTATTATTTCTTTTATTGTAGAGACAACGTCTCGCCAAGTTGCCCAGGTTGGTCTCGAACCCGGGGACTCAGGCAATCCATTCGCCACAGCCTCCGAAAGTGCTGGGATTACAGGTTGAGCCACCATGCCCAGCCAATTGTTATTACTTGTAGGGATGAGGTTTTGCTATGTTGCCCAGTGTGGTCTTGAACTCCTGGCCTCAAGCAATTCCCCTGCCTCGACCTCCCTAAGTGCTGAGATTATAGGTGTGAGCCATCATGCCCAGTTGGTTTTGATTATTATTCAGGCATGGTGGGGCCAACAGCCTAGAACCCAATGGTCACTGAAGAGATCCTTTAAGGAAAAACTACGGGCAGTGAAAAGACCAGCAGTTGCTGGAAAGGAAGGGATGAGTAGGTGAGAAGCGGGGGATTTTCAAGGCAATGTAAGTACTCTGTGATGCTCTAATGGTGGGTGCGTGTCGCTGTTCATCTGTCCAGACCCACAGAGCGTACAGCACCAGAGGGAGCCCGGTTGTGAACTGTGAACTCTGCGTGATGATGGTGTGTCCACGGAGGTCCGTGAACTGCAACACGTCGACAGTGGGGGGAGGTGTTGACAATGGGGGAGCCCGGGTGCACGAGAGGTCTCTGTACCTTCCTCTCAATGTTGCTGTGAACCTAAAATTGCTCTGAAAAACCCATCTTTTAGAAAAGACAGTTTGTTGCACTCACAGATCCAAGAGGAGGGGGCACCCCGAGCCCCGGGGTCCAGGAGGGAAGCCCCAGGGCTGCTCCAGAGTCAGAGTGGGTGAGGGAAAATACGGCCTTTACTGTCCTTTCCATGTGAAGGCCAGGGGGCAGAGCGAGTGGGTTTGGGGCTGGCAAGTTTGAGTCATATCGGCAGACTCTGGGACATGGGTGATGTCCCCAGTTGTCTGTACCAGGCCTAGGGTGACCAGGGCAAGGGATGATGGCCCAAGACTGAGCCAGAGAGAGAAGGTGGTGGCTGTGGGTCTGGTGGTTGGTCTGCATACCACAGGCACTCATGGGTGCATCCCATGATTGGTATGCACATGACAAGTGCCCACAGGTACATCCTCTGCTGCCGGTGGGAGCTGGCCAGCCCTGAGAGGGTGCTTTCCCCAGCAAGACCTGGCAGCAGGATGAGAAGCTGTGGGGGCCCAGCGCTCTCCCTTCAGGTGCTGGGCTCCGGCTCCAGGACGGGAGGAAGGCTGCGCTCCCCCACCTGAGGGGGTTGTGAGATGGGTCTGCCTGGGACCCCTTGTTTTCTCAGCTCCCCTAAACGTAGCTCTTGACAGACTCTTCACTCCTTGGGGACCGTGCCTCACCTATCCAAGGCCACACATTCCATCACATTCCCACATCTCTGGGATCAGGTGCTCTTTCGGGGTCACTGGGGTTCAGTTCTGAGGAATTAGGGTCCTGGAAGCATTCCTCCCTGGAAGGAGCTGGGGAACATGGTCAGCGGCTCTTGGGCCTGAGTGGGCAGGCACTGACCCCCACTGAACCCCCTGCCTCACCCCCA